GATGATGCATGACAGAGGTGAGTGTCTTTACATTATCATAGTTGATATTGACATCTTTGTTTTGGTCAAATACTGAATAGCACAACATAAGAGTCGTTCATGAGGAGGCTCTTATTCATCTTATTCATGGGGAGCTTCCTTGGCGGAGGTCTGACGAGGCTTTTTCAATAACCCACACGTTGGATATGAGCCTGACTGTGACATCGGAACATGGTTTATGGTGTAAATGTCACGTTTATTCCCCACTACATGTGTTTGGTATCCAAGGCTGTCAGATTGCTGCTAGCTTTGGATTCTGCTGCAGTGTTCTGAGTGCTTTCTTCTCCCTCAAGTGAAGATCACGTGAGAAGCTTTTTGTGTCGGAGGCCTGCCTTGGAGACAGCACTGTCCCATGAATCCTTCAGGAAAATGTGTTTGTAGGTAATGTATGTTACAGCCATGTTGATTTTTTTTTCCAGTTATACAGTTTTCTCCGTTGCAAACTCAGTCAGACGAAATACTTGAGAGCATAATTTTACAAACTGAGCATGGGCACATAAGAATGGACACAAAGTTCACCAATAGCCAAAATAAAAATCGAATCAAACATGAGGAGGAAGTCCAAGGAGTATGAAAAACAAAAAAAAAATAGACTATGAGGTGCAGTTCTTGCCATGTCATTCTGATTCTGTCCATTGGATCAGAACGATGACTTGTTATGACAAGCTACCAGTCTTGCAGTCATTCCAAGAGACGCATGTCTGCATTGGTGGGCTAAAGGGACTTTTCCTCCTCTGGATGACTGTACAGCTGGGAGCAACAGGGACGTACTTTGTACTGCAGCTCCAGCCCCTGCAAGTTACTATACACGAAGTATATTGATGATTGTAGTACTGACTTGGAGAGAAGTATTATTAGTATTTATTTCGGTAGCGTTTTCATTAGTGGCACAAAGTATTGAAGTATAAATACTTTGTCATTGTACTTCAGCAGGTTTTTATATTATCTGTACCTTAGAGTAGTCGAGTATTTATTTTCCTGATGACTTTTTACAATTATTCCCCACATTTGAAAGCGGATGTGTACTCTTCTTACATCAAATTTGGCTCGTAACATTTTTCAACCCGCTTCGCCGATAATTTCACAGTGTAACAAAGCCATAAAAAAAGAGAGGTAACTCAAATAAACTCAACTCCACTCAACATTATTTCTGGAGCACTTTACAACCACAGCTGAGATAAAGTGCTGCACATAAAAATGAATGTAAATAAATTGGTCTGAAGGTGTATGAGGTTGTCGACGTATTTCCCAGAGAAGTGAGGCAAGAATTATGCTCTCTGCATTGGCATACAGGAGGTCCAGAGTCATATTTTCTCTCATTTCACAGTCTCCAAGTTTTGTGAAAATGTTCGTAGATGAGAGGAATGTGACCGAAGTCTTCACTGACCAGGCTGGAATTGTAATCTCGCAATCATGACATCACATGAGTTGACTTCAGCATCCGAAGGTTGAATGTCAACCATCAACTGTAGTTAATGGTGAGTCCGTCTGTTGGTGAGTAACCTCACGTTCTCCATAATGAGCAATGGAAGGTAATGATTTAATTCTCCTGTCCCATTCACTTCTCTCCCACTTTATTTCACTTTTCATATCTCTGACAGGATTTAGAATGTGAGTACTTTTGTCACCTCTCACTGATTGGTTGATTTTATTTGCCCTCGTTAGATTCAGGTGTACCCAATGTTGTGGCCAACGTGTGTAGTCGGGAATGTTTACTATCAATAACGCTATTAAAAGAATTCACATACGAATTGACACGTTACATGAGAAAAAAACCACGCTACAATTATATTATGTGGCCCAAGTTAAAATAGTTTGCTATGGAAACGGGTCTTGGTGTGAGATGGCCCCGTTATGACAAACATTGTCACGCTCGTAGCTGCTTGTTTGTCTTATGTGTTGTGTGTGCCGTGTTGCTGTTGAGACCTAACAATGAGCTCTTAGTGAGTGATTGCGTTTGGCCTCCCTCTGTTCCCCTGGGTTGCTTTTAGGCTGCATAGATAATGATCATTAGATGAGACAGGTAGGGGATTGCAGGGGAGTGTCTCTGATGGAAGGAGATGGTAGCTTAATACAATTGGCTTGCTTGTGACGGGCTTCATTTTGTGTTGTGTGCATGAATGCGTCAGCCATGAAATCACTTGGTTGCGTGGTGATGATGTGAACCTGAGTTCAGATGAGACGTGTTGTTACATATGCTCTCATGACTCCATTTGTCCAAAGAGAAATGCATGACTCAAAGGGCAGTCTGCTGCGCAAGCAAACAATTAACTTGGACACCTACAGCCTAAATCTGCCTTTATAAAACAATGACGCTAAGTGATATTCATTTAATAATATATTTATTATTGAGGGTGTACTGCTGAGAGAGGTTGTGAATATTTTACCTCTTTACTGTCAAACTAAACATTCTCTCTCTGTCGGTCTCTCTCTCTCTCTCTCTCTCTCTCTGTTTGATAAAACCCTCAAACAACATGCATGGCAGCTTAATGGAACGCACTAAATTGTCCCTAGGTGTGAGTGAGAGCGGGAAGGGTTGTTTCTCTACGTGTGTCCTACAATTGACTAGCAACCAGTTCAGGGTAGGGAAAATTGACAGCATGCATTTGGAATGTGGGAGGACACCAGAGTACCCGGAGAAAACCCATGCAGGCATGGGGAGAACATGCAAACTCCATACAGGAAGGCCGGAGCCCGGAATCGAGCCCGACACCTCTGTACTGTGAGGCAGAACTGCAAACCATCAACTTCCCTCTCCACAGTCACTTTTTCCAGCTCTTTCGAAGGGGATCCCAAGGTGTTCCCAGGCCAGCCAGGAGACAGTCTCTCCAGTGTGTTCTGGGTCATCCCCGGGGCTTCCTGCCAGTGGGACATGCCTGGAACAACTCACCAGGGAGGCGACCAGGAGGCATCCTAATCAGATGCCCGAGTTACCTCAATTGGCAACTCTCGACGTGAGGGAGCAGCGGCTTGACACTGAGTCCTTCCCAGATCACCGAGCTGCGCACTCTTTCTAGGGATAGCCCAGTCACTCATTTCAAACTCTAGTATGCCGGGATCTTGTTCGTTTGGTCTCGCCCCACAGCTCGTGACCATAGGTAAGGGTATGAACGTAGATTGACTGGTAAATTGATAGATTCCCCTTTCAGCTCAGCTCCTTCTTCACCACAATAGACTGATACAGAGTCAATATCTCATGTGGACGCTGCATCGATCTCATGCTCCATCCTGACCTCACTTGTGAACAAGACACCAAAATATTTAAACTTCTTCACTTGGGCCAGAATCTCATCTCTCATCCCTTACCTGTAGAGACCACCATCCTCCCACTGAGGAACATGGTCTCAGATTTGGATGTACTGATGCTTATCCCAAGCGCTTCACAATCGGATGTGAACCGCTCCAGTACAAGTTGGAGATCATGGCTCCCCCCGACCCACAGAATTCCCCAAGGGACACGCTCGAACGTCTTCTCCAAGTCCACAAAATATATGTAGCCAGGTTGCGCAAATTCCCATGCACTCTCGGGGACATGGCAGAGGGTGTAGACCTGGTCCACTGTTCCACGGCCGGGACGAAAACCACATTGCTCCTCCTGAATTTGAGAATTGACTTCCAAGCTTTTAAAATGACTGACTTATTATTCTAGGTTATACCGTCACCCTTGCTTTTTCTTGCACTTTCCCCCACCATCTCAAATCCCTTTTCCAACCTCAGCTGACCCCCGATTTTTTTCCCTCTGCTTCTGCGTGTACACTTTGAGTGACACACATTCATTTCCGTGTAGAGTCCACCCCCCCCCCCCCCACCCCCCCCCCCCCCACACACTCCCCTCACCACCACAGGGGCCTTCAGGGGAGGCCAAGAAATGTGCAGACTGAGGGCGCCTTGAGATTTTTCACTCTTGCAAAGACTGTCACACCCCTCCAAAAAGCCCATTCAGACCTCTGACCCACCAGCTGCGACTGCATCACCATGACGTGAATGTGCAATAAAAATGATGGCCGTCATTCCTGATTCATTTACTCAGTGGCACGGTAGTTATCCATTAATTTGTTGATGAAACATTTCTATGGTTCCACAGACAATGGAAATGACATGGTAACTACAATGTGGCCCGTGACAAAAAATGAGTTTCACACCCCGACTCTACAGGGTCTTCAACAGTTGTTTTCAAGCTTTTTTTTTTTTTAACAGCTCCCAAAATGTTTTCTTTTAGCAGTTTCATTTTCTTGGCCTGACCATTAAACCTATTCATTGTAAACCAGCGGCTTCTTTCTATGTTCTTCTTCTGTTTGTGCAATGGCTCTTCATTTTCTGCTTCGGAATTACTTGCACCAATAGCTTTTTGATTTTCTTGTTGATTACTTCTCCAAATGTTAATGTTTTCTGCACAGGTAAAACCTCCTCTCTAAGAGGTGTTAACGCAATTTAGAAAACTGGATTTGATAGTTAAAACTCCACTCTGAGTCCAATTTAGTAATAATTAGGTTTTGGTAAGCCATGTAGCATCACTTTTTGCAGATCTCAGCTCTGTTATGACCACATGCTTGTTCTGACAAAGTGTTCATGCTCGCTGGAGCCACCTAATCTCTGACCTCCCTGGCGTGGGGAGGTGTAATACCTCCCTATGCTTCTATGATCACTTTCACTTGTTCCTGTTTCCCAGCCATGTGAGACCTGTATGGGATTTTATGCTTTTTATACCGGACTTCATGTCAGAGCTTCCTCACCATAGCCAGCCTCTCTGAGGGAATGTCTTCTTGACACCAACCATCTTGTTGCTGATAATTATGATGATGAAGATTATTTAGTAATGCAAAGAGCGAAACTAATTTCTTCAGGCTCTATTCAAAAACATTCAATTAACTTAATGAATAATCCCAACGATTCTTTTTTTCACTGGAGCTGGTCAGGTGGTTTTTAAATGCTCATCTCTGAGACATTATCTAAGTTCTAGTTTCTTCTCACAGATGTCCTCTGTTCATTTGGACCGAGTTGGCGTGCAAGTGGAGGCCGGCTGGGGAGTGCACTGGGCGCACGGCGGAGCCATGTGAAGACCAGGGAGCCTGAATCTTTTATCGGAGGAATGACCACCTTGCAGATAGCACGATTATGACACTGCTGTTTTCTCCTGCATGGCCGCACATTTCTCCACTCGACTTCCCGTTTGCATCGGGCAAGAGGACGTAAAACTAAAGGGGACACTGTGCTCTTTCGAGCCGGGAGCCGCTGCGCACAATCGGTGCGCTCCTGCAGACTGACTGCGCCCAGAAAGCGGTCAGCGGAGCGCTCCATGCCTCCGAGCCTCAGATAGACACTTTACCCCGGCGGGATTCAACGCACCGACGCCCTTTATACTCCATTATTGTTCCACTCCAAGTCTGCTGCGGAAGAAGAGCACAAAAAGAGAGGTCATCTTCAAGTTTACGCGCGTTTTCGCAGGTTCCGGACGATGGCGTTCCTGGCGAAAGCTGCGCTGCTTCTTCTGGCTGCCACAGTGCCACAAAGTGAGTAATCTCCTTTTTGAAAAATCCTTCCATATTGGGACCGAGGGACTTGTACTTTGCGGCGTCAGTCAAAGAGGATCAAACATGTTTTGGCTGTTCCATCGCCAAATCGTCACTTGTCACACGCGCAGCGCCGCGTTGACGCTTTCGGGGAAGCTTCATCTTCTTTACCTCAGTGAAATATAACGTATTTGAAATAACACAGAAACGAATGTCACGGTGGTTGTGAGGAAAGAGTTGCACATCTCAATTCCTAAAGTGCTACTTTCTACGACAGTAAATGTGTTGGTAACTTCATTAGGTTCATTCACTCTGCATTCGAATATCAATAAAGAGCCGGATCAAAACACATGGTTACTAAATTATCGATTATCCATCTCTCTCTAGGTAGTTGCAGATGAAGTCTTCGTGGAGAGAGCTTTCTCGTGTTACCTTGTTTAGCTACTTTCAGAAGTACAGTGTGTCATTGTTTATTGTGGTTGCAGTTAGCAGTGGCATAGAACTGCACAGCATCATATTGAGGGGTGTTCCTAATCATTTGAGCACCTCTCTAACTGAGGTAAACAAGACAAAATATTTCTATATGCCCTGAAAAGTACAATCAATAATTGTGTGTGTGTGTGTGTGTGTGTGTATATACGGTATGGTATATATATATATATGTGTGTGTGTGTGTGTGTGTGTGTGTGTGTGTGTGTGTGTGTGCAGTTAAATTGTGGAAAATGTGCAATAACACAAACTGCATACATTTCACATAGTTACACAAACAAGGTGGTCGAATTACTTAACAAGGTACAGTATATAGTAGATCACACACACACACACACACACACACACACACACACACACACACACACACACACATATATATATATGTGAGAGAGAGCCTTCAAATTATTGTGTGTGGTACTCTGGTCCTCCCGCATAATATGTGGATGGGCAGCAATATGCAGGTTTCATCCCAGTGTTGTTCTCAGGCCAACAGCTGTTGCTTGACATGCTGCAAATGAGCTCTCTGGCAAGAGCTGACGAAGATGAGTCACTATGTTGGCACCTATTTGTATGTTGTTTCTCTCTGAGTACCACATCTCCTCTTGCTGCTGCACGCTAAGTGTTGAAAAGTTGAAGGGGGGGATGAGCAGGATGAGGCTGCAGGTTGCTTGTCATTCACTACAACGGGGGTTCTCAAACTTTTTAGGTCCAGGGATCCCTGACAGAACCACAATTAATCATGACTACCATGTGTACTTCTTTAAGGAAAGGAATTGTAATGCTACAATAACAAAATCCTATAAAAAAGTCAGGAGAATAAAGTGGTATTTTTTTAATGAACAATAATACTTTTCTGGATCTACAGTGGATGTAAAACACTCCTTGTTCAAATGCCAATTCTTCATGATACAAAAACATCAAAAATAAGACAAAGATAAATCATCTGCGTTTGGCTGGCAACTAACTGAGATAAGCTCCAGCATACCGGCAACTCTAGTGAGGCTAAGCATTTCAGAGAAAGGATGGATGGATGGGCTGAATAAATCATTTCAAAACTTTTTTTGAACGTTAATGTGATCTGTCACTCGGACAACTCATTTTATTTTGCTTGTAACCTTTTTGAGAGGGGAAATAAATACACAGTCAACAACGAAAATATGTTTTTCCACGTGTTTGTTATGGTTCATTGAAACCAAGGTTGAACTTTTCAAGCCATAATTCCCAAAGGTACTGTATAGCTCGAAAAAAAAAAAAAAGAACAAACAATACAACCGGTACTTATCACCAAAAGACCACCATCCCTCCAGTGAACCAAGATGGTGACAACATCACGCAATTAGGGTGTTTTTCTTCAGGTGGAGGGGAATTGTGTAAAAAGACTCTATTCATGATTTATGTGTTAATACGTCACACTTATATGAGGGCTTTAATTGGCCCAAAGCCAAGGTAAGGAGTTGTTTGAATTGTTTGAGGATGTTGGTTTTACTGGCTCACTTGCGTCAATGTGTTGTTATGCACATTTAAAAAAATAATATGATGACAAGATCTTAGCTTGTTCACTACCATAAAAAGTAACCCTACAGGAAGCAAAAATTGGGAAAGCAGCAGCCTCTTTATCCATTTTCAAACATGACCAGCTTTAGTTAAGCCCAAATTGACTTGGTGCGCGTGTTTTGGTGAATAACCTTTGATTGTGTTGCAGTTTTAGCGCCTGTGAGATGATGGCATTCTTATTTTTAGAGGCAATAAATTATTGAGGTGTGGAGAGTGCAGCAAGGCAGACACTCGTGTATGTGTGTGTCTGCATACATGTGTGATGAGACCTCCTGGTATGCTCCGCAACGTCTCCCCAACCTCATATGTGTCCCCTCCACTCTTTTTGGCGTTATTTTGACAGCTCAAGACTTCTCTACATACATTTCAAACTGAGCCCCACCTTCCTTCTGAAGTTAAAGTAAAGTCATAGTGACCTGTCAGAATGGAATCATTGTTGAGCCGTCTCCGCTTCTGAAGAGGATTTTCTTGGGCACTCTTGTCGGCTAAGAACTGTAAGTCTCAGTCAGAACCTGCGTTCGTGTTGTCAAATAATGACACCAATCCTTGGTCAGATTTACAATTTACTGTCCAAGATGTATTAATTATCATAAAAATGATGAAAAATATCACAGAGGTATGAGAAAATGGGAAAAATAACAGTCTCAAGAATGTAGTGTGCGCATTCCTCCGCACATCTGTGACTCCATCTCAGCACTGACCCTATTGCAGATAAACAACCCTATTGAAGGATGGCTGAACATTTTAATCCAGTCAAGGAGCACACAATGTGTGGTCAGTTTACGCAAGAATCAGAATCATATTTTTTGGCCGAGTATGATGAAACACACAATGCGTTTTTTCAGTCATACTTTTATGAAAGTGTAGTATTTTCATAAAAAGGTCACTCTAATAAAATATACATTTAAGACATGTGCCAAAAATGCACAAACTAAAGAGAGTCATTAAGTGTGTCATCAACCTGTGTGCAATTGTGCAAATGGTGCTTGACTGACAAAGCTACAGCAACGAATACCATAGCAAAGGGTCTGCAAATTGACAAACGTGTCAACTGCTCTTGGAATATCTGATGTTTTTGGTGAGCATAGCAGAGGGCAGAGCTGGAAAAAAATGGTGTCCTGTGAGTGGGATTAAGTCCAAGAGAATGATGCCATCCTGGAGACCTGTACATGTGTACAAACGTAATAGTCTGAAGACTTTGTTTTTCTTCTTTCTTCTTTCTACCCAATCTTGCTGCTGTAGACTGTAAATTTCCCCAATGTGGGACAAATAAAGGATATCTTATCTGATCTTATCTTATCTTATCTTATCTTATCTTATCTTATCTTATCTCCACACCAGTTGCTTTGAATTAAAGCTCAGCAAACTCAAGCAGCTTTTATTGTAAACAAATGATTGATTTTGCGCATGGCTCGGATCCCGTCGGGATAAAATATGATATTACTACTGTAGTCTAATCTCTCGAAAGCAACATGGTTCAAATTTATTTTCTCGTGTGATTCTATTAACTTGACAGTGCGCTTTTACTGTGGGGACTTCTTTCTGTATCTTTCTGTATCGTTTGAACAGATGACTTGTCTCTGGAGATTTGAGTCATTCATTGACTGTCCAGATGCTCCAACGCTCAGCGCTCGTCCCCCTCGCTCGGATATCTGCGATAGTGGAATGTGGAGTGATGTGTGGACAATGCACCTCTGCTTTCTGGCGGAGCACCTCTTCTTTGTCGTCATCCTCACGTCCCGTTGCATACGTGACAAATGTGACATCGTGGCCACAAATACAAAACCTTGTGTTTCTGTCATCCAAAGTTGCCAACTCACACACTTTGAGATGTCAGGAGACGTGTATCTTGCTGATGTCAGATCACCAGTGTTTGCACTACTGGTTCGGTCTGAATGCTTAACCACGCGCATATTCCTCTGCTGATTTTTGGCCTGGGTGACGTCGACGTGGAATCCGGCCATGCAGCTGTCATCTTTGGGTTTGCTGCCCTGTCTAACGCGACAGCTCAAAGACGCCCGAGGCCGTCGGGCAAGCAAAACAGTGAAATCAAATGTGCAGTGTGTTTTTCCACCCCGAACATGTCAAATGGCAGCTATCGTTCAACCAAATGATGTTTCATGTCTTTTCTGGAAGGGATGACAAATGGTGCAATCACTCAGATTCTGTTAAAATATCATGGCACTACCATGCAGGGAAATTATGCTGCCAAATAATTCAACGTTGATTGTGAGATGGTGTGGAGGTAGAAGATGGGTTTTACGACTTTGAATGCGTGTCATGCACAAACGCTTCAGAAAAAGCAGAACTCACACACTTTGAAGTGAGGATTTGTGGTTTGTGCTGATGTCGCTAGACAACATGATATCAACTGGACATAAAAAGTCTCTATCCCCCTCTTGACCGTTTCTTGTCTTCGAAAAAATGAGCTGGTGAACTAACAAACATGGACTGAAATTTGCTTGTCAACTCGCCACCAATCGCAGTTGCAGTTTGTCAACTAATCGGATCAAATGTAAATTGCAGTATATTGTACCAGCAAGCAGCTGTTGTTTTATATATATATATATATATAGTTTACATCCTAAATTCTTTAGCGTATGTACAAATGAAAAAAATAAAGACAATTATGATGGCAGTACAGTCAAATGTGATACAATCTAACAGCTTCTACCAGCGTTACAGACATGTTTATCAACGATTGTGCAACTTATATTGAAGGCGATATTGCGGCCTTAATATATTTAGCTTTAAAGGTTCAGTGTATTTTTATTGTATTTTTATAAAAAAGAACCAAAAACTATACACGATGCACACTGGCACTAAGAACACTTTAAAAGTACCGGTATATAAAAATACAAGCATATTTCACTCTTTTCAGGAAACAGCCTTGTTTTATTAAATGTACAAAGGAAAAAACAGTGAAATCAGATGAGTAAAATGCACTGTGCAAA